ACCAACAAGCACACACGCACACACAGACAACCAGACACACACACACACGAACATTCCCACACACGCATACAAAATACACTAAAACACAACGAACCGAACGAAAAAACACGAAACAAGCGTTGATGGAAAGTCCCTGATTATTCAAAAAAAAAAAAAAAAAAGGGAAATTATTTTTGTTATATTTTTATGTTTTTGTAAATTTGAAATATGCATTTGATTGCTCATATATGAAAAAAAAAATAATAATAATAATATGAGAGAAGAGCCCAAGCGTCGCTAGCGACGCCAACAGAGCAGAAAAGCTGTGAAGGTATGTGTTAGGCCTTAAGTTGATCCGATAATTTAGTATTACATAAGAGTGTGTGTTGAAGCGTGTAAGTATTTGTATTTGCATTTGTATTAAGCATAAGTTTTAGGTGCAACAGTTGACAGTAGATGATGAAGGGCAGTGAGATGGAGATGAGGAGAGATGAAGTTGAGTATGAGTTATTGGCAGCAAGATGATGCAAGGAAGGAAGGGAGCGTGCGGCAAGGAAGCCACTGTAAGTAGAGTACAAATAAACAACAACTACAACTACAATTACACACAATTCAATCCAAAATGAAAATCGTATCGTCTTAGTTACCTCTACTACTATACCTACTCTCTATCTCTCTAAATGCCAACGACAGAGGCCACTGCTGTACTATATATATGTAATATTCTCTCTATCTATATATGTATATACAGTTATGTATATATAAAAAAATATGTTAATTCTTTTGCAACTATATATTGAGTCAACTGTTGTTTCGTTCTGCCAATCCGATGCAGAAGTGTGAGTTGAGCACGGGGCATATTTGTAGTGTATGGCAATGCCCACTCCCTGGCGGAGTTGCAAACGCACACACCCACACACACACAGACACACACATATATAGGTATATATATGTAATTCAGGTATGTGTTAGTTTATAAGCGAGGGCGAACAACGACAACAACATGAACAAGTACGTCAGCCTGGGCGCCAAGTGGGGGCTCAATTCGAGCCCGATCCCAGGCAATCGGCAATCATCAACGTGTTTCTGCACCTGGCCAACAGCTGACCAACAACGCAACAACATTCAACCAACCAACCAAATCCAAATCGATTCAACAACAACCAATCAAACAACTCTCGATTCCGACCAAACAACCAACCAATCAACCAACCAACTGTATAATTCTTGTAGACGAATGCGTATGCCTCGGCCCAGAGACGTAAAATGAAAGGTTTTAGCGACTTCAAGCGTATTGCGGTTGTTTGCATACCCGGCGAAGATGAATTGAAACGTCGCATCGCCGATAAAGAGGAAAAGGGAAATGCTTTTACAGTTAAAGAATCAACAATAAATAACTTACGAGGTAAATATTGTCTACCACAACCACAAGCAACGAAAAAAAAAAAAAAAAACTATAAACAAAAAAATATACGAATCAATTAAGAAACGGCAAATTATTAGTGCGTAATATAAAACAATATATCTATATGTATATATATATAATATATATTGAGTACATATATTACAAAAAAAAGAGAATATATTTAATGCTTATTTTATGTAACTTATATATTTATTAGCTTGTAAGCACTGCATTCTCTTATGTATTTGTAACCGTTTTTTACTGTAATTCTAAGCCATCTTTTAATTCATTTTTTATACTTCATCAATATTGATCATTATCATTATTTCCTTTTAAAAAACAAAGCAAAAATTGGCAGCTGGCAGCTCTAATGTGTTCCAAAAAGAGAATCTTAATTATTATATATCCATATTTGTCCGATTTATATTTAACTGTAAAAAAAGGCTTTCTTAGACGAGGGCTTTACTGTGGTCCGTTATTTCTCACAACCAATATTCGAATATTCTTTAAATATTTATTCAAATCCGATCTTAAAAGTTCATTCAACTGAAGCTTTAAGCTTTATTTCACTCTCCCTCTCTGTCTCACTCTCTCTCACTTATTTGCCTTGAACACATTGCCAGCTGAACGTACCACCCCTACGCCTACCTTTATCCCTTACTCCTCCCCACCAATTTACTGTCTGTCTCCCCAACCCACTTTATCTCTCTCCGTTTACCCCTGTCTTACTCTCTCTCTTAAAGTGTAATGTGTATAAAATTGATGAAAACTCTTTGCCAGTGTTGCACAATGCTCGACATGATAATAATATACGCTCACACACTCTTTTTGCAGCCAATTTCACGCTGCCCTCGCTGGAGTTTGGCTGGTTTGACGACATCATCTACACGGAGCTGAGTGGGGACGAGGCCAAGGCCGAGGTCAAGAAGTACAATGAGAAGGGCAAGAAGGCCATCGATGCGGACAGGTCGCGTGACAAGAGATCGCGCGGCGGACGCGATAATTATCGACGCGATGACAGGCATCGCAATCGTCACTTTGATGACCGGCGTCGGGATCATGGCGGACAGCGTCACGACAGTCGCTGGAGCGACTCGAGACGCGGCGGCGGAGGTGGAGGTGGCGGCGGTGGCTACTCCAGCGGCGGCGGCAGTGGAGGCGGCGGTGGCAGCCGTGGCTATGACAATCGCAATCGTGGTTATGGCGGCAGCGGTGGTGGCGGCGGCGGCGGCGGTCAGCAAAACTGGATGCAGAATAATCGCCGAAGCGGCTATGATGATCGTGGCTATGGCGGTGGAGGCAACATGGGCGGCGGCAGTCGTGGCTATGATAATCGCAATCGTGGTTATGGTGGCAGCGGCGGTGGCGGCGGCGGCGGTGGTGGTGGTGGTGGCCAACAGAATTGGATGCAAAACAATCGAAGGAGTGGCTATGATGATCGCGGCTATGGTGGCGGTGGCGGCAGCTCGCGAGATTATCGCGATCGAGATCGCGGCGGTAACGATCGCAATCGGCTGGGCAGCAATGATCGTAACCGAGGCAGCAGCCAAAGCAGCAGCTATCGCTCCGGCGGCGGTAATCATCAACAACGGGATTTTCGGCATGGCCACCGCGACACCAAAGAAGATAGTCGCGGTGGCTATGAGCGGTCAGCTGCACAAGCGCTGCCCAAATACGGCAATAACTCGGCCCAGGTAGCCAGCTACGATCAGTACAAGTCGAGTGGAGGTCAGCAGTCCGGCTCCAAGGTAAGCAGTGAAACACTCACCTCATCTCCAGCAATCATTCTATATAATGTTTCTATTCTATTCCGTTTGCAGTCCGCGCTAAGTGGCAAATGGAGCACCTATGCCCAGCACCAACAACAGCAGCAGCAGACGCATCATCAGCCGGCCGGCGTTTGGCAGCAGCAGCCGCCACAACAGCAGCAGCAACAATATCAGCAGCAGCAGCAAACGCATCAGACCGCAGCAGGCCAACAGCAACAACAACAACAATATTGGAACTATAATCAGATGCAGGGTAGGTAGCAGCAACAACCACAACAACAACAACACCTGGCTACAACTGCTTACCTATAGAAAACAACTCGCTCTGTTGTCGTGCCGCAAATAAAATTCTGATTTAATATTCGATGTGGAATTCATTTATTTGCCTGGTGGTTAATGGAGCGAGTTCCAATATGAGTAGGCAGTTGGCAGTTGGGGCATCGATTGATTGATTAATTGATTGATTGTCTGTATATTGATTGAGCAGGTTATGGCAACCAGCAGCAGCAATCCGCTTGGCAAGGCGCTGATCCACAGCAGCAGCAACAGCAATGGATGTCCTGGTGGCAGGTGAGCAACAGTCTCCCAACAACAATATATCGATAAATCGTTAATTTCTATATCCATCATCGATAGCAGCAGCAGCAACATCAGCAGGGCGCCGGCGGGGGAGCAGCGAACAATAATGTGGGTGGTGGCAGTGTGGGTGGCACTGCGGGCGCAGCGGGCAACAATGATGGCGGTGCCACCAATCATTATTGGTCTCAATATTCATACTCTACACAGTCCAATGCGGGCGTCGACAAGAAATAGAAGAAGAAGAAGCAGCTAATAAATCGGTGCACACTTTTTTTTTGCCGTCGCAAAACCCCATTCATTCACACACACACTCACCCCCACAAGATGGAAACCCAACTTTAAAATATAGTTTTTAAACATAATACAGATCAAACAAACAGAAAGCGAGCGTAAATTTAGTGTAGCCAGTTTTTAAGCGTCTGAAAAGTCCAAACAAACAAACAAAAGCAACTTTAACGGCAGTTTGTCTCTCGCACTCACTCTCTCTATATAAACAGAAACAAAATTGGTGAACGACGAAAGAACTGTTGATTTTTTAACTAAACAAAACGCAAAAAGGAAAAAGCAGAATATATTTACTTTTTACTTGCAACAATTTTTTCATTGCAACATTCGAAATGAGAAAAACAAAAACACACACAGAAAATCCAAACCAATCTTACATTTATTGATTGTATATTATGTGAAACGGTTTATATATATATATTATAATATTTTGTTTATTTCGCCAATTAGCAAACTTTTCCTTGTTTTTGCCAAACGAAAGCAATAAAGGAACGTTAATTGAACTTCTCTTTTGGCTCATTACGTATCTAGGACAGTACAATTTGTTTAACGTTTAATTATGATTATTGTTTTATTTTTTATACATTAACGAATTGCTGGAAGACAAACTAAAAACAAAATAAATTTAACAAATAAATCTATATACAAAAACAAAACAAAAACTGAAATCGTCTTGAGTTTAATGATTATGTATTTGTGTGAAAATAGGGTTTGGGAATTGTATTTATAAATTTATATTTTTATTTATCAAACGTAAAATATATTACTTTCTAATTGAATTGAACTTAAAAAATATATATAAGCAAACTCAAAATATTTATGAAATGCAAAAAATATTTTAACAGGTCTCTTATTAGAGGCATATCGCTAATGTTAAATTTCGATACACTTGAAATTGGCGCTAACTCGATATGTTTCGTTCAGTCAATATTTATCGAAGATCGAGCCGCACCACGTCAAGTGGAAATCGATAAAAGCCGACGATAGGCGCACGCAGTCGCAATCTAAATATTAGCTTCATAAACATAAAAGTTGTGTGTGCTAAAGAGTAAATGCGTGTTTTACCTATAACATAAAAAGTTAATATACAATTACACATATCGCTGGCCGTCCATTAATGCTTAAGGTATTCGTTAGACATGCAAATGCGATAAGAACAGTTGGCATGACGCATGCAACAACAAACGGCGTGACATTTTTTTCCTGCTCAATTGCTTTAATTGATTTTTCATTGTTTGCAGGAAAATCAAAATGATGGGCATACAGTTGTTTAATGAACTCGGCAGTATTTTTCGTAATGTGAGTCGGAATTAATACACATATTTATATAGAAATAATGCATATGCGGGTTTTTGTTGCAGACTCCCACATATGCGCTGGTGCTGGAGACTTTGCTGCTGATCACGGTGATTGCATTGCTCTTGCATAAACGTGGCGGTCGCGGGCTGTCCAAGGAGCAGCAGGAGTCTCTAATTGAACAGTATGAACCGGAGCCTTTGGTCGCCGACACAGATCCGGATCATCCGTTGTTACGCACTCGCCTTGTTGAGTCGAGGGTGGGCAAGCGCATAGTGGTCAATGGGCATAATTGCCTAAATCTGGGCTCCCACAACTATTTGGGCCTGCTCGAGGACGATGAGATCCTGGAGGAGGCGTGCAAGTGTCTACGCAAATACGGCGTCGGTTCGTGTGGCCCGCGTGGCTTTTACGGCACCATGGATGTGCACCTGGAGCTGGAGGATCGCTTGGCCAAGTTCATGGGTCTGGAAGAGGCAATAGTCTACTCCTATGGCTTCTCCACTGTGGCCAGCGCCATACCCGCCTATGCTAAGCGTGGCGACATCATCTTTGTGTAAGTTGCCGAGACTCCACTTGATTTGGTTTTTTTATTAATCTGTCATGATTTTATATAATCTTCCAGCGATGAAGCCGTCAACTTTGCCATACAAAAGGGCCTGGATGCCTCGCGCAGTACCATTGTGTTCTTCAAACACAACGATGTGCAGGACTTGGAGCGCTCGCTACAGCAACAGGAGAAACGTGATCAGCAGAACCCGAAGAAGGCGCAAAAGACGCGGCGCTTCCTGGTCGTCGAGGGCATTTATATGAATACGGGCAAGCTGTGCCCGCTGCCAGAGCTGGTAGAGCTGCGCAAGAAGTACAAGTTGCGCCTATTCCTAGACGAGACCATATCTTTTGGCACCTTAGGCCAAACTGGCCGCGGCATAACCGAGCACTTCAATGTCAACGTAAGTATGCCGTCTTCGTTAAATTTATCGATAGCTTATATATTTACAATCATTTTTAAAGCGCGATGAAATCGATTTGATATCGGCGAGCATGGAGGGCTCCATGGCCACCATTGGCGGTTTCTGTGTGGGCTCGCATTTCATAGCCGAGCACCAGCGTCTGTCCGGCTTGGGTTACATCTTCTCCGCCTCGTTGCCGCCAATGCTAACCCAAGCGGCGATCTCAGCATTGGATCGCTTCGAGCGCGAACCGCAAATCTTTAGCCAGCTGCAGGAGAGATCGCGCCAAGTGCATACACAATTCAAATTATTTACAAAATTGAAGTTGGGCGGCGACGAGCTGTCACCTGTGAAGCACTTGTACCTGGCCGAAGACCGTGAGAGCTTTGAAGTAGAGAGCAAGCTGCTCAGCCAAGTGTCAGACAAGGTACAAAATTGAATAATAATATTCATATCCTAAAGGCTAACCGCTTCTATTTCTTTTCAAGTGCATTGAACGAGGCGTGGCCGTCGTGGAAGCCGCCTATTTGCGGAACAGGGAACACAAGCCGATTCGTCCGAGTCTTCGCATTGTTGTTAATCGATTGCTGACCGATAACGACATTCGGGAGACCTTCGATATTATTGAAGCCGTTTCCATTGCTGAGCTTTAAGTTCGGTCGGTTTTCTTCAATTGAATTCATTGCGTTCCTAGTTTATTTTTGTTGACCTATGACAAAAGCTCAGCACATGCTTTTAAAATCATATTTGCACAAAATCTACATTGTATTTGAGCAGTAATTACAAAATAAAAATTTATATAATAAACAAAATTATTTTATTTGTATTTGACATATATTGTAAAACAGATTATATTTCCATTACGTGAGTTTTATAAAATTAATCTTCAATTTATCTGTTTAACATTTATTGTTTTGTTAGCAATCGAAATTTTAAACTTAACAGACCCGCTAACAGCACCATAATAACATTACAGAGTTATTGCTTATCGATTGCTTAGCTGCACTTTTCACTAAATTTTGTTATCATTTGGTCACACTCTCATTCAGAAACGAAGCCGAATCGAGAGCACGCACGTCGCGCTGTGATTTTCAGTGTGATTTTTGCATTTAATAAGTGTAAGTGTTCCAGATTTTATTAAATTTTTAGTAAATCGCGTAATAATAAAAAATATCAATAACAATCAAACGTCTATGGTGCTTGCTTAAACTATGTTGTGAAAGACAGCAACAGCATAGACAATACGCACCAATCGATTTTTTCACGTCATACCGGTGGCGAAGACGCCGCCAAAGTGTTAATTGCGCTCGTGTGTTTGTGTGTGAATGTGTATTCGAATAAATAATATGACATAATCGACGCACATATCATATGCGGTTGACTTAATTGACATAGTTTTTCCACACTCTTCTGCAGAATACTTATAAGTGTCGCATATTTTGTGGTCGCCGCGTCAGGACTTGACAATTCCTTTCGTACGTTATGTACGTGAGCGGCGCTGTTTTTTGACGCATGCTTTGATCACCAGATTCGTTATTACCAACATACATACAAACGCCATATACACATACATACATATATTCCCTTTCGATTTGGGCGTTGCAGGATGATATGATTTCCAGGCCGCTTTGCGGTCATTTTCCAGAGAGCACCAGAAATGCAATATAGTTGTCTCGCTCTCTCACTTTTGCGCAAACAGAAGAAACAAAAATGCATTTGCCTTCAATAGTTTATATTTTATATGTATATTTAATATGAAAAATGTCATAGGTATAATTTTCTTTGTTTATTTAATATACGAAACAAAATAAATTGGCTCATATATGTATGTGTATCATCCGATTTAGTAATCGCTACGCCCATTTATCGTTTTCCAACACTGTCGTTCTAGACCGCTTCCAGTCCAAGTAAGCACTCTCTCATCTTCATTTTGTTGTTAACGTGCGCTTGTGAGCGACGGACGTGTGCGTTACAGAAATCGAATGTAAAAGGAAATTATATGTCATAAGGTGGCGTTTGATTAAATTTCTGTGTATACAACTTTGCATTATTAAAGTTGGTTATTCAAATGTGACAAAAGCAATTTGCATTAATAAAAAAAAGGGCTAAACGTGGTGAGCTGTGCAAGTGCCGTTACTTAGACCCGCCATTGTTAGATACGCCGTTATAAAGAGAGCCCTTGCCGCCGTGTGTTGCCGCTAGCGCAAAGTGCAAGCGATAACAAATGCCAAATAATAAATTGTAGTGCAATTCACGATCATTGCTAAATAAATAAAAATTAATTTCATAGTTCTTTTTTCCTCCCCTCATTTATTTACTACATACGTATATACAAATATATACATAAAGCAGCCGAAAAACGAACGCGTGTGCTTGTCAGTTTCGACGAACTTGTGTCTGTGTTTGTGTAAACGACGTCCCAGCAGCACGCAATAAGAACGAAAAAGCGAAAAGAAACAACGAGGACTACGTCAAAGTTGGAAAAAGCAGAAGTCGAAACATTTACTGTGAGTACGAGCCCGTCTACCTTCATATCATTCTTATTTTTTTCCTACTTTTAATTTATGTATGCATGTTTGTGTGCTTTTAATTGTATTATTCACTTTTCGGTTAATTTTTTGTGTCGAAATGTGTATAGACAGCTCGCGCTGTTTACTGTTATGCGTGGTTGCCGTTTGACCGGTGACGCCATCTTTTAACTCACACCAACAATTTTCGTTAAATTTTTTTACATTTTGGGATTGGTCAAGCACATTCCGGAGGAGTGTATTTTTCTCTTATGCTTTGTCTTCAATATTCGTTCTGAAAATTTGTGTTTTTCGTATTTTCTTTGACTTGTCAGTGATGAAGAACTTTTGACTTTTCTCTCACCGCTCTCTCTTAATTTGCTTTCGGGTGGGTGGGAGCTGGATAGATATATCAGTCTGTAGCTTTCTATTCATGTCTGACACATGTCATCATACAGGTTTCTGATTTAAACTGCCGTCTTTATCAGTATACACATACACAAACAAGTGCTGGCAAATATTTACGCTTACGCGTGTCTAATGCATTTTGCCGCTGTTCGTAGCGCATCTGTTTACAAGTTTCTTAGTCTCGCCGATGACCTACTTTTATTTTGCAAAGTTTCTTTGCAGTTTTTGTTGTTGTTTTTATTTTATTTTGTGCCTTTTGCATGCGATTTGGCGAAAAGCTAGTTTTGTGTAGAGCAAGTGATAAACAGATTTGTAAATATCGAAAACTAGTTTTTATTGAATAGTGACAGACGATAATGGTTTTGCAAGCACTGTAGATATTAGTAGAGCAATCAATATCGGTTATCGGTTAACCGTTTGAACAGCTGTTGTATCGACAGTGTAGCCACATAAATGCAAATTCTATGTAACAGACGAAAGTCTCTACACTCTCTAATCAGAACCTTTTTTGCGAGGTTCTCTAAACAGAATTTTTTTTCGAGTAAGAATATAAATCCAATTCAAATAAATTTGAATGTGAGACATTCGGCAGTAAGTTGACCTTTTTTTCTTTTTTCTTTCATGTGATCATATTCTTATTGCCTTCAATTAGAGAACAATTAGAGCGATGGTGAGAAAGGGGGGCCAGAGAGATAGAGCCATTACAGCATAACGAAACGAAACGAAAAAAAAAGTCTGTAGAGAATTCTTTGTACTTGGTATTTGTCATTGACAGAGCAGTCACTGTTATCAGTCATATCAAGTTGATATAACATATATGAGCAAGTGACTCTCTCTTACGTATGTGCTGTGCGCTCGATCGCATGATAAATCAGGTATATTAACTGCTCAATGACGTCATAGCGCGCATTTTCTAATGAATCGCGCTGCCTTTTGTTGCTAATTCAATTTTGCGAATACTTATACATAAATATGCACACACACACATGCTTTCAGTTGATGAGTTTTATAATTTATTTCAATTCAGCCCAAATGTGTGCTGAGTGTGTGTGTAAGTATATATGCATATGTGTATACATGAATATATATTTGTGTTTATGATTTTTCTTTGTATTATTCATTCCCCCTTTTTGCACTGAATAAAATGCTGCTATAAGCGACTCAATTGTAGTTGAATTTGTATCTAATAAAGAGATTTTTGTTTGTTAATGTAATGCAAAAGTTTTTATTTTATTATTTTTGCCGACAAACTTTTCAACAGGTGAAAACAAAAGCTATGCGCTGTGACGCTCTTTGGGCGGGTGGCTGAGAATAGCAGTGCAAAGCAAACGACAAAAATAAAAGAAGAAAAAATAAACCCATTGTCAGATTGCGCTACTACAGTTAGTTATTTCCAGTGGACAAATTAAAGTGTTGAATGAATGAGGCAAACAAACAGACAAAGAGAGAGAAGGAGAGAAGTCTGAATGTATCTGAGTGTGTTTGTTTTTGTGGGAGGAAGTGCATAGTTAAAACTGTAAACAATTGTGTGGCTGGGGCAACCTAGAAAAGTAGCGACAACAAATGCTTGAATGAGACACATTCGTTTCGATTTGAATTCGTTTTTGTATTTTATTTTTTTTTTTTATTGTTGGTCGTGTCTTTGCACGTAACGGAAGTAGAATAGAAACTCCTAACTGACAATAAGTACTATAAAAATATACATAMTTTTGATTTATTTATTTGAGAATTGTGAGTAAAAATTGTTTACTCGAGCGTACGCTAGCTGGGCTTATCTAATTTCCAATTTGAGTGACGTCACTGGATGTCAGGCTGTGATTAATTGTTATAAAATGTTTGGAGATTAAATGCATAATTGTGACGTTCCATTTGATTAATTGAACCGAACCTTCGTTTGTTGCTTCAATGGTCGTGGGTCTCTGACAACCCTGTTACAGCGCGCGCGCTAATACCAAACGATTTATCTAAAGAAGCGAAAAGTAAAAGAGAGAGAGAGAGATAGCAGAGGGAGCGAGAGAGCGAGAAAGGTAAAGTAAACTCGTCTTTGCCTTGGGCAATTGAGCAGCCGCCGCTGCTGCAGCTAGACAAATGCATCAAGCGAGAGACAAACAAATGCATAAATAAAAAAAAAGTAGCGTACGTGCGATACACACACACATACTATATGTGTGTATATACAAACACCTATGTCCATAGAAGTGAGATTAAAAAGAGATGTTTCTGGGTTCTACTGTGGATGTTGTTGCCTGCAGCTCCTCATCAATAATACAAGCAACAACAATAACACAACAGAGACAACAGACAAATGTACAGTTGCAACAGACAGGCTGGTGAAACAACAACAACAATAACAGTAAACTCTGATGCGCTGCAGCAGCATAACTAAATCTTATAAGAAATATCAAGAAGGCGCAAGAGCGCAGGGGACAGAAACAACAGAMAGACAGACAGACAGCCAGACAGAGAGTGACGACTGCAAAAGCTCAGGCACGACAAGCATGCTGTTAATTATACATGGCCAAGTGTTATGAAGGAGAGAGGCAGACTGCAAAAGAGTGTGAGAGAGAGGAAGAGGCTGGGTTCGAGTGGCATATAACGAGCGCAGAGTACGCAGAGGCCAAGAACAAAAATGTAGAAAAAAAGAAAAGAAGTAAACAAGCCCAGGAATGAATGCACGACAAATAGATGCTCTAAGCTTAGCTCAAATATTTAATAAATGTCTAAATTTTTAAAAATATTTTTTATTTATTAGTTATAATTTTTATTTACCATTTTTGGGGCAGAATACTCCTTAATTATAGACATCTTTATTTCAAGTTCCATTCT